CCCCAAAACCCCAAAACCCCAAAACCCCAAAACCCCATGAAGATTTTGTTAGATTGGTTTTGTTGTTATTATAAGAGTTTAGCATTATTATTTGATATAATATCAAAAATATGTAAAGGATATACTATCTAAAGTTATTGCAAATAAAATTTTGTTCCTTAATTTTAAAACAAAGTAAATCTACATACCTCTAATTTCATCCCCTTACTTTATGAGACACCAATTGCTCTTCATCTGTGCTGCTCTAACCTACTCTATAGCTTAATCTCTACAGATACTCTGTCTGCTGGTGGTATGGACATCAGCATTACTATCCCTGTCGGATATTTCCTTTGGGTTGGAGTTCAGAACTAAGCTGACGATGCAGATCTTTATGGAGATCAATTTACCATCATTGGAGAGACAACTCTAACTCACAGAAGCTTTGACATTTACATATCGGGAAATGGCACTATCAATAACTATACCGAACCAGGATATGCAGGACATAAGATCACAAAATCATTGCCAGATGGTTATGTGGAATATTAAAGACCATTGAAGTTAATAAGAGATGGGAGAAATCAAACTCTAGAATATGACAAAGACTACAATATGACTTATATTTTTGATTATGCAAGCTTCGCAAACAGAGACTTGACATACAGGCATTATTTCACAATGAGACTCAATTCTACAACTGGGCAGGCTGAAATTAATAGCCAAGCTCAAGTAAAAGACTCTCGCAATCTCATTGAAATCAGCCCTTAGATTCTTAATAATTTGTTGTTTTTAATGAATTTATTGTCCAAAATTACCAAATATCTCCAAAAAACTTTCTATTTTCCTTCCATCTATTCCTAAACATCCATATCTTCCCCAAAACATAATTCCTGGAGACTTTCCTAACCCCTCCCAATTTCCCCAGAAAGCATCAGATTATCCCTCTACAACCCCCAAATCTCTACCAATTTCAATACTTTCCCCTCCAATCGGGGTTTTGGGGTTTTGGGGTTTTGGGGTTTTGGGG